AAAAAATAGATGGATAAGTTATGATAGATAAGATATGGTTAAGATATAATATATAGATACTATAGATATTTTACATAGAGGAGGGTTGATATATACATTTAGAGGAATTTGACAAAAGTGACATAAACTAGGATAGGTAAGGTAAAATAAGATAAAGAGGTAAGATATATATTATTAATAATAGATGGATGTACGGTATAGAATATTTTCTTTTTTTTTTTCATCATCTGCAAATAAAGAAGTGTGCTTGTCCGACTATAAGGGGAGGATGGAGGCTGGATTCTTTTTTTTTTTTATATATGTATATATCTTAAAACACAAATGAGTCATTTATCCCATAGGGTATATACATATGCAAAAAAAATTACAACATAGAAAGATAAACTACCGGTAGATTAATAAAGTAGATGGATAAGATAATTACAATAGAAAAGAAAGAAGTTATGTTACAAGATAAGATAGATGTATTACATAGAGGAGAATGAGATAATATACACATTTAGATTAATTTGATAGAAGGCCAAGTTGTAAGATAAATTAGAATAGATACAATAAAGTAAGATGCAGATATAAGATATATAATACTGTAGATGTATATTTTTTTTTATATATTTTTCTGGTATAACATGTTTTCTTCTTTCTTTTTTTTTAAACATCTTGAAAGAAAGGAATGTACTTGGCTGGCTATAAGGGGAGGTTGGAGACTAGATTTTTTTTATATCTTAAAACACAGATGAGTGTTTTTAGCCTATAGGTAGATATGTGTACAAATAGACATAAATATAAATAAAAAAATTAGATAAAAATGTAGAAAATAGAAAGATAAGATAGATTAATAAGGTAGAAGGATAAGCTAGATACAATAGAAAAGATGGAAGTTATAAGATAAAATAAATGCATTACACAGAGATCCATAAGAAAAAATGTATATTTAATATATATATTTAGATGAATTTGGTAGAAGGATAAGATAAACTAGAGTAGACAAGTTAAAATAAGATATAGAGATAAGATATATTATTAATATTAGATGTACATTTGAAAATATATATTTGTCTAGTATAGTATGTTTTGTTTTAACATCTGGCGCTTGGCTGGCTGTAAGTGGCGGTTGGAGGCCGGATTTTTGTATTTTTTTTGCTTTTACATCTAGAAATAAAGGAGTGTGCTTGGCCGGCTGTAAGGGGAGGTTGGAGGCCAGATTTTTTTTTTTTTTTTTTTGCTTTTATATCTACAAATAACGGAGTCTGCTTGGCTGGCTGTAAGGGGAGGTTGGAGGCCAGATTTTGTTTTTGCTTTTACATCTAGAAATAAAGGGGTGTGCTTGGCTAGCTGTATAGGGAGGTTGGAGGCTGAATTTTTTTTTCTTGCTTTTACATATAGAAATAAAGGAATGTTCTTGGCCGCTGTAAGGGGAGGTTGGAGGCTGTTTTTGTTTTTTTGCTTTTACATCTAGAAATAAAGGAGTGTGCTTGGACGGCTATAAGGGGAGGTTGCAAGCTGTTTTTTTTATATCTTAAAACACAGATAAGTGCTTTATTCCATAGCTATGCGTAGGGCTGGTGCTAACACTAGGCAAACTAGGCAGCAACTTAAGGCACAGCCACAGCTGCTGGTTTCCCTACTGTCCTCCTTGCTGAGAATTGTATCACATCGAGTGTTTTTTACCTCTGGTTTTATGTTCAGTTTGCTTTTTCTACTTATTTATTGAATTGTTGCAAAAAATGTCATGCTGCTGTGCCCATAAGTAATGGGATACAGCTGTGTGCTTCCACGCTTCTAGAAGGAGCAGAGTGCTCCTAGCCCATAGTCTGTCCTCCAAGGCACAGGACATTCTCCAGACGTAGCAGGCAGAACTTTGCAGCAGGCAGGAAGCAGGGTCGAAAGCCAGGCCAGAGGGCACGCACAGGAGGTCAATCAAGAGCAGAATCTAGGTCAGGAGCATGTCAAGAGTCAAACAGAGGTGATCATGCAGGAGCGAGGTCAGGAGGATAAGCCGAGGTTATACACAGGTAAATAAGTAGCAGCAGAGTTAGTAGAACAAGCCAGGGGTTATAGCCAGGAGAAGAGATAAGGCAGGTCAGAGACAATCTGGGTTGGCAACGGAAAGTCAAATAATCACAAGACAGAAGCACAGGAACACAGGGGGCTGACAATCATCCAGCAACTAGTGGTCAGAGCTGCTGTGCTACCACTAGGCAGACTAGCCATGGCTGCTGATTTCCTTAATGTCCTGCTTGCTGAGAATTGTATCACTTAGAGCAGCGGTCACTAAATGGCGGACCATGGTGCGAGAATGGCCCGAGCACCGCCAGCCCGTCAGATTAGAATGACAGATGCACAACCGATGACTTCACGTGTGCGTCCTGCCCCTTGCAGCTCACTGAAGAACACTGCATATGGATGACATCTACAAGATTAAACAGATTTTTTTGGAACATTACGGATATGAGACATTTTCCAAACAAATATGTTTAATCTTGTCATCCATATGCAGAGTTCTTCTCTTTTCCCTGAGGAAGTAGTGGAATCACTCTGAAACGCGTTAGAATAATTAGATTAATATCTCTGCAGCTTTGTTACATCTATGATGATACCAATTTGTATTTTTTATGACCAGTCAAACACAGTCACACTGGGTATCCTTATCATGTAATTTAATTTTCTCATTGTGATGCTTACTCTGCATGATGTATTGTTTTTGTATGTCTTTGTGTTATCACCTTTTTTGACAAATAAAATTTGTACTTTTTTAATACTTCTAGTACCTTCTAAGCCCTTAACCACTTGCCTACAGGGCACTTCCCCCCCCTTCCTTCCCAGGCCAGATTTCAGCGCTGTTGCACTTTGAATGACAATTGCGTGGTCATGCAACACTGTACCCATATGATATTTTTAGCATTTTTTTGAGACAGATACAGTGAAGAAAATAAGTATTTGATCCTCTGCTGATTTTGAATGTTTGCCCACTCACAAAGAAATGATCAGTCTAAAAATCAAATGGTAGGTGTATTGTAACAGTGAGAGACAGGATAGCAACAAAAAATTCAAAAGAAATGCATATCTAACAAATTATGTACTGATTTGCATGTTCATGAGGGTAATAAGTATTTGATCCCCTTCACAAGACATAACTTAGTACTTGGTGGCAAATCCCTTGTTGGCAATCACAGAGGTCAGACGTTTCCTTTAGTTGGCCACCAGGTTTACACACATCTCAGGAGGGATTTTGGCCCATTCCTCTTGGCAGATCCTCTCCAAGTCATTAAGGTTTGGTGGCTGACGTTTGGCAACTCTAACTTTCAGCTCCCTCCACAGATTTTCAGTTGGATTAAGGTCTGGAGACTGGCTAGGCCACTCCAGGACCTTAATGTGCTTCTTCTTGAGCCACTCTTTGTTGCCATGGCCATGTGTTTTGGGTCATTGTCATGCTGGACCACCCATCCACGACCCATTTTCAATGGCCTGGCTGAGGGAAGAAGGTTCTCATTGCTCCGCCCATCGTCCCTTTGATGCGGTGCAGTTGTCCTGTCCCCTTAGCAAAAAAACACCCCCAAAGCAGAATGTTTCCACCACCATGTTTGACAGTTGGGATGGTGTTCTTGGGGTCATAGGCAGCATTCCTCCTCCTCCAAACACGGCGAGTTGAGTTGATGCCAAAGAGCTCGATTTTGGTCTCATATGACCACAACACTTTCAGCCAGTCCTCCTCTGCATCATTCAGATGTTCAGTGGCAAACTTCAGATGGGCCTGGACATGTGCTTTCTTGAGCAGAGGGACCTTGCAGGCACTGTAGAATTTCAATCATTGTTGGCGTAGTGTGTTACCAATTGTTTTCTTGGTGACTGTGGTCCCAGCTGCCTGGAGATCATCACATGTAGTTCTGGGATGATTTCTCACTGTTCTCATGATCATTGACACTCCACAATGTGAGATCTTGCATGGTGCACCAGACCTAGGGAGACTGACAGTTGTTTTGTGTTTCTTCCATTTGCAAATGATTGCACCAACTGAACTGTTGTCACCTTCTCACCAAGCTGCTTGGCGATAGTTTGGCAGCCCAGTCCAGCCTTGTGTAGGTCTACAATCTTGTTCCTGACATCTTTGGACAGCTCTTTGGTCTTTGCCATGGTGGAGAGTTTAGAATCTGATTGATTGATTGCTCGCTCCTGTGGACAGGTGTCTTTTATACAGGTAACAAAATGAGATTAGCAGCACTCCCTTTAAGAGACTGTTTCTAATCCCAGCTTGTTACCTGTATGAAAGACACCTGGTAGCCAGAAATCCTGCTGAATGATAGGGGATCTAATACTTATTTCCCTCATGAACATGCAAATCAGTGCATAATTTGTTAGACATGCATTTCTTTTGAATGTTTTGTTGCTATTCTGTCTCTCAGTGTTGCAATGCGCCTGCCATTCGATTTTTAAGCTGATCACTTCTTTGTGAGTGGGCAAACATTCAAAATCAGCAGGGGATCAAATACTTATTTCCTTCACTGTAGAGCTTTCTTTTGGTGGTATTTAATCAATCAATTAATATTTTTTAATAAACAAACCAAAAACAACTGAAAATTTTGAAAAAAAAAGTGTTTTTCTTAGTTTCTGTTATAACATTTTGTAAATTAATAATGTTTCTACTTCACTGATGTGCGCTAATGAGGCTGCAGTGATGGGCACTGTTAGGCTGCACTGATGGGCACTGATAGGCGGCACTGATGGGCACTGATGAGGAGGCACTGGTAGGTGGCACTGATGGGCATTGACAGGCATCACTGGTGGGCATTCACAGACATCACTGATGGGCACTGAAAGGCAGTACTCATATATGGCACTGATAGGTGGCACTGATAGGCGGCACTGATAGGCAGCACTGGCTGGCACTGTTAGGCGGCACTGACTGGCACTGTTAGGCGGCACTGACTGGCACTGATAGGCGGCACTGACTGGCACTGATAGGTAGCACTGATTGGCGGCACTCATAGGCGACACTGACGGGAACTGATAGGTGGCACTGACTGGCACTGATAGTTGGCACTGAAAGGCAGCTCAGATGGGCACTGATATGTGGCATTGATGTGCACTGGTAGGCACTGATATGTGGTATTGATGTGCACTGATGGGCACTGACAGGTGGCATTGATAGACACTGACAGGTGGCACTGATGGGGCTACACTGATCATCAGTGCCTTGCTCATCAGTGCCCTGATGATCAGTGTAGATGTCCCCTCTGAGGAATGCCGATTACCAGCTCTCCTCTCCTCATGGGCTGTCAGCGTGACAGCTTGTGAGGAGAGAAATGCTGATAACTGCTATTTCCATATTTACATGCGATCAGCTGTGATTGGACACAGCTAATCATATGAAAGAGCCGAAGTCATCGGCTCTTTCCGCTGATTGGTGACCTGCTGTGTCCCAGGGAGGGTGTGCACACGTGGTTAGAGTGGGAGGACATCATATGACATCCTCCAAGAATGAGAGAACCACTGCGCTCCTGTCATTTCCCTGTATGGGGGCGGAAATCTGTTAAATTCCCAGTGTCAGGGGGTCTCTCCTTTTTTCAATTATCAATGATAAGCGACATTCTATTTCTTTCTTGTGTATTTTTAACACACCGCTTGCTTATTAATTTGGTCTTTTATTACTGCACATAGTGGTGCCTCCCTTTGTCTTTTTCTTGTCTTCCACATACAGAGCTGGCATACTCTGATGATGGCTGCCACTGATGTTGCTGGTTTTAAAGAAGTGCAAATAGCTGGTCTTGCCTAGGGTGCTAAATAGTCTAGCTCCGGCCCTGAGTACTACAATATGAAGGAACACAAGATTAAACATACTGAAATGGAACAAGGAAGGTACAATGTACATAGGTTTGGTACAGGGGCGGACTAACCATTTGGAAACTCGGGCACTGGATTGAGCTGTGGATATGTGGATCTGTGTGAGCCAATGGAGGCAATAAATTAATGCTTTTAATGATCTTTGAAAATGTGAGTGGCCTGGTATTATTTAAAAAGTGCATATGTTAGTAGCAATATCACACTATGGTATTTCTCTCTGTTGCACTGCTGTGGAGCTCTTATCAGGAGTGAGTGGAAGGAGGACACCAAGCCTTACAAGGCAGATAAGGAGCTCTGGAGGATATAGAGGGGGCTTAGGATCCCTAAAATCCTAAAAGGCGCAATACTCACTATCATCTGGTGAGTGCGGTTGATGTTGATTTTACACTGGTGGATGGTGGAAGCACGTTGTTTTGGGAGAAGATTATCTCATTATATAATTTTTTGGGGAAGAAGGACTTTTTTATTTTATTTTCATTTTTTATTTTTATTGAAATATTCTTTTTCTACACATTTTTTTGAACATTTTATTTATGTTTATTGATTTTTATTATTTATAGATTGATGTTATATATTTGGTGAGGAGGTTTTTTGATTTGCGCTGTTTCTATAATATTTCTAATAAGTGGTAGAAATAGTGCCTTATTGTTGATGTCTGTAGGAGGAATAGTGCCCCATTGTTGGTGTCAGTGGTAGGAATAGGGCCCCATTGTTGGTGTCAATGGTATGAATAGTGTCCCATCGTTGTTGTCAGTGGTAGAAATAGTGCCTTATTGTTGATGTCTGTAGGAGGAATAGTGCCCCATTGTTGGTGTCAGTGGTAGGAATAGGGCCCCATTGTTGGTGTCAATGGTATAAATAGTGTCCCATCGTTGTTGTCAGTGGTAGAAATAGTGCCTTATTGTTGGTGTCAGTGGTAGGAATAGAGCCTCATTGTTGGTGTCAATGGTATGAATAGTGTCCCATCTTTGGTGTCAGTGGGAGAAATAGTGCCTTTTTGTTGGTGTCAGCAGGAGGAATAGTGCCCCACTGTTGGTCGCAGTGGTAGGAATAGGGCCCCATTGTTGGTGTCAATGGTATGAATAATGTCCCATCATTGGTGTCAGTGGGAGAAATAGGTCCCCATTGTTGATGTCAATGGTATGAATAGTGTCCCATCATTGTTGTCAGTGGTAGAAATAGTGCCTTATTGTTGGTGTCAGTAGGAGGAATAGTGTCCCATTGTTGGTGTCAGTGGTAGGAATAGGGCGCCATTGTTGGTGTCAATGTTATGAATAGTGTCCCATTGTTGGTGTCAGTGGTATGAATAGTGCCTTATTGTTGGTGTCAATGGTATGAATAGTGTAACATTGTTGGTGTCAATGGTATGAATAGTGCCTTATTGTTGGTGTCAATGGTATGAATAGTGTCCCATTGTTCCTGTCAGTGGCAGGAATTATGCTTCAAGGGCTGAACAAAGGCAAGCAAAGGGCCACATCTGGTCCCCGGGCCACAGTTTAGAGACCACTGTTCTAAGGCATAGTGTAGTAAAATACTGTAAAGTTTAATACGGGCTTGTGCGATTCTCTTAAAGAAGTATCATAAAAGCATGTGATCAATTTACATGTAATAAAGAAGTTTTCATTCATTGTATGGCTGTGTGTTAATGATATAGAAACATATACTTTTTGATGTAGTGGTTTGTTTGGTTTTGATTTATTGGACCTTCTATGGAAGTCTATTCTGGCGTTGTCTTGACCTTTTTTTGCTTAATTGAGTTTTGTAGTCACCGTGGACTCTGGAATCCTAAGGGGTTGATAAGCACTTTAATGTGTATTGCGTGAACATTTCTGTTACTTTCCAGCTGCAATCATTGTTAATCGAATGGTAGTTGTTAATATGTATCAGCATGTGTGTGTGTGTGGAGGGGTAAGGTGGAAATGGTTACAATTTCACTCTGTACTCTTGAAACATCTTTGAATAAATGTATCATTAGCCTGCAGAAAATGTACTGTACTTTCAAGAAACATTCTTCCTGCACATACCTCTTATAGATCCTTCATTTAAGGTCACTATACCACAATGGATTGAACAAATACACAATATGATGAAAGTCTTTCCATGAAAGAGAACCATGAAATATGGGTGGACTTGCCAAACCGCAATGCAGGACTCTAGGGACAATAGGATGAGACAAGACGATATAAATCGTTATACATTTTATTTGTCTTGTCTATAAACATAATAAGCAAGAACAGACTAGTAGAAAAGAAAAAAAAAATGTTGGCAAAAGCTATCTGTGGAGAATAAGGAAGGTGAGAAAGAGAGAAGGGAGGGATTGAAGTAGGTTAGATGCCAAAGGGTGTTTGCTATCTGCATCAAGGATCTGGTACGTCTGTTCCTGGAGTCAGCACAGACCAGTCCCATGGTGATGACCCAAGCCAAGCCAAGAAAAATGTCTGGAAGGTTAGCTAGGGGTGGTAGATCAGGAACATGCTCATGCAGTCAGACATGGTTATTCTATTCAGCAAAAACAGCTTTTTTTCTTAACGTGTCAACGTAATATCTTGATTATTATGGCCCAAATACAGATGATTAGCATAAATCAATGGGACTGGCAGAGATGCAGTCTGTGTTCATGTTGCTGTAATGTGGAAGAATGCTGCACTCAGTATTTGTATAAAGAGATGTTTAGCATAGCAGAAAAATGTTGGGCCATTTGGTCAGGATTTCACTCTAATTGCAGAAGTACTTACACAAAATGAGTCTTAAATCTGGAGCAGGACCAGAAGATGTGTAGGATTGTCCTGTCTTATAGACATACCTTCAGAATGGTGATGAGGCATCAGGGGAATAGTTTTAGTAGCAACAAGACAAAATATTGTCAGGAATGTGTTAATATATTTTATTAAGTGTTCTTGCATGGCAAGACCACCGGCTGTTATCTCACATATATATTCTTATTATTATAGCCAAATTTACCACCCTAACTCCTCCCACAGTTTTTACACTACATAGACAGTAATATACCAAAACGTGCGGATTATTCCCGATTGGTGTGCTCTTACTTTGTGGAACGTTTCGCTAAATGGTTCACAAAATATCGGCATTTTTGTGGTGAAATTGGTCCCATAGGAATGAATGGCAGAATGTTCAAAATTAGAGTGGGAGTTGACAAAAGCTCAAAAGCTAGAGTGTGAGATGAAAAATCAGGACTTGATTTCTAAACTGCCATCACTCCCTCATTTTCAAGCCCACCTACACAAATCTTATATCAAAACCTTCAGCTATCCCTGCTGCCACTAAAAATGTCCACAGCTAAGCCATAGTCCTGATAGTTTTCACAATATGACCATTTGTTTGCAACTCACGCCGCCCATTGACATTCATTGAAACTCCACTATAGCCACCTCAAATTTGAAGGGCAATTTCTAAACTGTGACTGTGCCTTCATTTTTAATATTTCGGAGACATACGATGCAACAAAATGTAGGTCTGGGTCTTGTGATTCTCACAATATAAAGCTCTTTGCTGTAGGATTTATACTTTTTAAACTACAACCATTTGAAGATGGCAACCGCCAGTGAAGTGAGCAAGTTGGAGCAGTTTGTTTTTAACTGCTCCTCTCTGCCCTTGCTGTAGAGTGAGTTGCCATAGGAACCCAGGTGTGTGAGCAGGCAGCAGAGTGGAGGCAAGAACACTTCACACAATTTCCCAGAAATTGTAGCTTTTCTAGTTTAAGTTTTTGCATGGCAAGACCACCTACTGTTATCTCACATATATATTCTTATTATTATAGCCAAATTTACCACCCTAACTCCTCCAACAGTTTTTACACTACATAGACAGTAATATACCGAAATGTGCGGATTGTTCCCAATTGGTGTGCTATTACTTTGTGGAACGTTTCGCCGAATGGTTCACGAAATATCAGCGTTTTTGTGGTGAAATTGGTCCCATAGGAATGAATGGCGGAATGTTCAAAACTAGAGTGGGAGCTGACAAAAGCTAGAGTGTGAGCTGAAAAATCAGGACATGATGTTTAAACTGCCATCACTCCCTCATTTTCAAGCCCACCTACACAAATCTTTCACAGTTACTCCAGCCACTCCAACCACACAACAGTTACTCAAGCCACTCCACCCAGTTACTCCGCCCACTCCAGTTGTAGACTACTGGTGGAGGCAAGAACACTTCACACAATTTCCCCAGAAATTGTAGCTTTTCTAGTTTGTATTATTCTTTAATCTCTTTGTTGAAATCGGGAATAGGAAGGGGGGGGGGAGGCATTGAAGCTGATCTGACCATTGTAAGTATATACAGTGGTGTATTTAGGTTTCATGCTGCCTTAGGCAACAAAAAAATTGGCTCCTTCCCTACGGAGAGATGCTGACACTGACAAACACCCCCTTCTCCCATGATAAGAGCCTGACATTGACCAACACCACCCCAAAAGAGAGAGCCTTCCACTACCACCGCCCCATACACACTGGCATCCCCCCCCCACCCTGGTGAGAGAGAAGACACTCACCT